TCGTCCTCATCTTGGTCTGAGCTGGAAGAATATTCCTCAACTGATTGATTTGATTGGTTTTCCGAGTCACTAGACGTAGAGGTATTGAAAGATTGTTCGCTGGAAGCCTGCTCATGAGATGATACCTCTGTTGAGGAGATTTCTTCATCTGAATTATTGATGCTGGAGGTTTCAGCATCAGAAGAAGAGTTATGACTCATTTTTTTGGGATTTCAGGAGATTACTAATCTAATAAAAATTGAGATGTTAGTACTGATAATGAAAATGAGGTGTCGAAAGGGGTAGAACAAAAGATGTTTCTCTTGTTTCCCTAGATTACTTATTATTTACACGAGTTGAACACCTTTACATGTAGTCCTTGCATCGGTGAGAAGAATTTTTTTTTTTTTCAAGTTTACATATGTACATAGCATCAGTGAGCAAAATTTATTTTCAAGTTTACATATGTATATACATGAGAAGGTGAGAAAAAAAATTAAGTTTATGTACAAGAAAAAAAAATCCTTGGATGCATGAGTAAATTTATGTATAAGAAAAAAAAATCCTCGGATGCATGAGTAAATCTGTAGTTAATGTATAAGAAAAAAAAATCCCTCGGTTGCATGAGGGAGTTCGGGGGGGGATCAGTCAGGGTGGCGCGATTTGGCGCTGGCGCGATTTGTGTCCCCCCTGAGCTTCCGTATTTTTCTCAGTGTTAGAACGTGTTCTTTTTTTTTCTTATTTCTTTTTTTTTTTTCGTTACTTCACTGCACCTGAGTATGCCCTTTTTTCATCTACTTCTCGCAACGACTTTAGGTGTTTAGAGATGATACACACATATCTATGGGTGTGACAGGGGCCTCTAGATGCACTAAAGCTCCAAAGCCCCCTCACCACATCTATCTGTGATTATGACTTGGAGTAACTTAATCAATATTCGGCATTTAAGTTCTTGCAAAGGTGAAGTTAGAGTTGCTTTAACGACAAGGACAATTGAGAGGTTGAATGCTATCGGGCAAGTGTGTGTCATGACATCCACAGCACCGTAGGAACTCCGCAAGTAAAGAATAAAATTACCACCAGACTGAGACTTCTAGAAGTTGTCGAGTTGCAAGCGGTAAATATGTACAATTTTTGCGCACATCTCTATCCAAATGGATAAAGAACTAGGGCTTGTAGACTCAATTTCTACGCAAAAAAACATTTGAGCTATAATGTCTAATGCAAATTGAAATAAGTATGAATTTTTCCCAGGTTACGTGTAATATATTATATGTATCTAATAGGAGAGAAAAAGCCTCTCTCACTTGCCAGGAAAACCTGAAAGGGTTTTTACGCAATTATCCTGAAAGGAGTGAATTTCTCGAAAACAGTGAAGCAACTGGAAAAAGAGAAAACGAGATTATGTGGAATGTGAGCCCATTTTTCTTTTCTGGTGAGATAGTCGCAGCCAGCATGACTGCCACCAACTTACTAGGTTATTGCGAGCCGAATGGACACCAAAACATGTTGCGAGCAGACGAAAGCTTCAAGGCAGGCGATAAGAAAGCTCTCGACCGGTCAACCTCTCACGAAGACCTTCAAGTGTATACTGTTGACGTGCCATCTGCTTGAATATAATCGCTCCGGTCAAGAGGTCAGATGGCCTTGGCTCAGGGGAAGGCTCATTAAGGCACCCCAAAATGTCTATGATCGTTAGATTTGAAGAGTTCAAAGTAAAATGTTCTTCTCATATTGATTTGGTTGGTGAGGATATATTGCATAGATGAGTTGGATGACTTGTTTATCGTTTTCTGCTTGTTTTTGTGCAAGATATCTCGGAGCCTGTTGGTGAATAATTTTAACTTTCGATATCTACATAACTGATTTTAGCCTGCGGCCAATAAAATTCCATTCAAAGTCAGATTTTCTTTTGACGCTGAGCTCCTTATGACGATGATTCTATGTGTGTGGTTGAACTGAGAGCTTCACTTTCGGGGTATAATATCTACCTGGACAAAGTAGGCGAAAAAAAAAAAAAGATGCAACAGACCCCACGATGATCTCATGATGTTACATTCATATAGGAACCAAGCTCACCTTAATGCTCGTCCACAAAGTGACGATACTTAATTTTCAACGTATCGAGAGTATAGAAATCCAGATCAGGAGCGCCTGCAACTATCCCAAACTTACTTGCTCCTCAGCAGTCCTCAATATGGCGCGGGCGAACAAAATCAAGCACCCACCACTGGTGACTTTATTGTAGCTCTCGATAATCGAGGGAACTCATGGTACATACGCTGCAGGAAAGGGTGGTTGGATGCCTCCAGAAGTTTAACCCAGTTCTTTGCTAAACAGTTGGGGCACGTACAACATTCGACATACACCCCTTGTCCTAAATCGTGTGTCTCTCTCTCTCTTGCACGAGGTGATGGCCATCGTAGTTCACCCTGTGACCAAGGATATTTACATAGAAATTATTGATGTTCGAACACCTGAACCTTTGTCTGATCAGGGCATGAGGAGTATGTCAATGCACTAGAGTTGCGATCACCCTTTATTTCCTCCATGGTGCAGAGACTATCGGGAGGTGACTTCCGGTAGCGTACCGGTTGGCTTCACAGCCGGGGTTTAAGCTGGTTTCCCAAAACCAGTAATAGATATAATCAGCCTCTCGAGAATCGCGTGAATCACTCAGCAGTAACTGCGACAGGGAATCCCGGCCGTCTCAGTGAGAGGGTTGTTTGCTCTCTGACGCGTTTGTATGATATGAATGACGATTGATAACGTGCAAGAATTAAATATCACAACTTTATGGCATACAAGTAAACACAAAATGCCTACTTGTTCATAGACGTTCAAGTTGTTTGTTTTACGTTAGTTGTCCTGTATGTTCTCGCCAGGGGATGATTACTTGGTGCAGGTGAGGCAGGCCATCTCTCCGGACCCGAGGCCGCGAGACTTGTCGGCCCTCTCCGGGGGAGAGGGCATAGCTTCGGCGGAATGCTTCGCGCGAAGCGCGACCTCGACAGAGAGACCCTGCCGGGCTGTCCTCCGAGCGCTCGGCTTTGTTTAGGCTCGGGTGCAGGTCCCGATCAGGCGCAACATGGTAGCATTCGAAACATTACAGCGCCTGCTAGGCGCCGCGGGACACTTCCTCCAATGTCACACCGGCCGCCAGCTCCCGCCAGGGGAGGACAAGGTCCGGACTCCGCAGAGTAGTGGGACCCGGTTGTACGGAGAAACAATCCCGACGGAGCTAGGTGCCGATCGAACTGAATACACGTCCATCGCGGGGCGCGCAGTGCACATCGGACCAAGATATAACTCATGTTTTTAACTTGGACTTGGTTGTGTGATGTGATCTTGGCATGAACCACATTCTATCCAACATAAAGTTGGCGTCACATGGATGGACCGAGTGTTGTAGTGATCAGGACAGGGACCAATTGGACACCAAATGGCCCAAGTGCTTGCCTTCAACAAGTAACCTCTTTGCTAAACACGAAACGATCTTTTATCCGCTCAATGAAAGGGATTTCCCTACTACATATATTTCCAAAAAAAAGGGGCGACATTTTTGAACAGCAACAAAAAAAAAACAAGAAAGCGTTCTCGATGGCCTCAAGAAATCCCATCCAGATTTAGATACTACTTTGTGCGCCCACCAAGGGAGTTCCAGCAAAATGAGTTTCCGTGAATTTCTAAAAAAAAAAAAAAAAAAAAGGATTGTGGATGGTCAGGAAAAAATGAGGAAATAATCGCGAGGTGAATAGATCATAGAGACGATGAAAAAAAAGGAAGAGACGAACAAGGAAGCTGATGATTCCATGATCATTAACAGCTAGCAAGACGTTCCGTTCGCCCCTCTTAAGCTTAGCAAACACGTTTTGTCGGAACGGTTTCTTGCCAGTATTCGATTGAGCTCCAAAAAAGAAACCAAACGAGAGAAGAGAGATGATCGTCTTGTGAAGCGGTGGAGAAGAAGACGGTCGACTGATTGGTGGCTTGGGATCTGCTGCAGGCTTGGCAATGGTTGGAGGGTATTTGGGAGCGGAAGGGCCTTGGACAGTGTCGAGTAGAGCGTTGGTCGTGGCGATATTGGGGATGCACATTTTTTCAGAGCTTTTAGAGAGCATCAGTGTTCCGATCGATCTGCTTTTTTAAAAAAAAAAAAAAAGAAATGGACCGCAAGAGAGACTTACTCGATCACACAGATCTGAAAGTCAGGAGTCGGTGGACTGGATTTGGGGAACCGATTATTTGGTTTATAGACGTAGTAAAACACTTCATAGCCTCCATTGTTTTTTGTCGGACAAGTCGTCGAAGCGGATACAGCGCTTGGTAACCGGACCTTTGGGCCTGACGGGGTCAGACTGAGTGCATTGAAGACGGATTCTGAAAGACGAGTGAAAATTCAGAATCTGCTATAGTCATAACTTGAGAAGGAAACAACTGAAAGACAGAGAGAAAGGAGGAAGAGAGACAGACCATAAGTTTTCCAAATCCCATCATGAATGAGACTGCGATTAGCAACAGCGAGTGTCGAGATATATTTTCTTCCAATCCAGGGTTGTGAGTTAGGCATCCAAAGTAATTTCAACCACGATTGGAGTTTTAGTATCGGCCGGCAGATGAACGAGAAAAGGTTTGCAAGGAAGGAACGAGGGGAGTATGTGGAGGGTAGAGCGGCTTGGCGTGTTTGGGAGCGCCAGATCGAATCGACATGTTCCTTGCGAAGAACAATATAACCCAGCCGCTTGAGATACGCATACACCTACATTAGACAAACCGATGTATCAGAACGTGAGCTTCTTTCTATGAGTTGAGGTCTAGCTAGCTGATTCAGAGTGGTAAGTATGAAGCAAGAAGAAGTACCTGATATCGCTCGAGTGATAGTTGATTAGTTCCGATGATCTCAGCCCATGCTCGTTGGACAGACATCGGGATGGCGCCCTGTCCAGTGGCTCGATCCTCAGCAGTCCAGCATTCGACGGTCCCTCTTTCGACCAGATACAGCAACTCCTCTGGGCTCAATTCCAGCCTCTTTCGCTCCCTGCTCCACCTCCCGATTGAAGAGAATAGGACTCCCTTGGCCGTCCCGTCCACATAGGGTTGGATGACTGGCTCGTCCTCAGATCGACCATGATCCCTCCTCGGGCTCGTCCAAACACATCTCACATGATCCCGTGAGGAGTGTCCCCGAATACCCGCAGATAAGGCCGTAAAGAGAGCTTGGCGCGATTCTTGGAGGGCTTTAGTTTGAGTGGGAGCCAGTGCTTCGGTCGGTTCGAAATCCTTCTCGCCTCGTCGGGGGATGAAAGGCTCTTGATTTCCTCCTACACTTTGAGCGCCTAGACTTCTGCATGATCGATCAATTATTTTTGGAAGATGTTTAAAGAGAGTTATTCTGGTGGGTTCCTTGGCAACGATGATAGATCAGGAACTGCTTAAGCGGACTTTGTATATTTGAGTAGCATTCGCCAGTCGGGGGCTTCTTCTTCCACTGCATCCTCTTCTTCAATAGGTCTTTCCATCAGAACACCTGGTTGTTATGAATGCTCAATGGTTTTGTAGCTTGTGGGTCCTATGGTGATCGAAGCCCTCGAGGGTTGAAGCTGGGTGGGATCCTCTGACTGAATAAGAAGCGGTTGATGAGTAATGATGTACTGAGGCAGCTGAAAGGAAAAAGGAAAGAAGGACTCACGCTCTTTACCAAAGTGGTTGTTGCAGGATCGGAGTCGAGTAAATGTTTGATGAGTGGATGAATGCGGATGTCACTGATCGGTGACAGCCCCAGTTTCACAGCTCCGCCTCTCCCCTCCAACTTCCAGCTGGACTCCTCTCAGCCAAAATCAACCAACCACCACCACATCAACACACCACACCACACCACACCACACCAGAACACAAACACAACAGATGGCAGCCCAACCCACAACCAACAACAACAAGACCAGTCCACCAAACAACAACCCAACACTCGCACAGGCTAACCAACTCAATCCACCAGCAGCCTCGAATCCAGGGACGACGACTACCGCACCCACCACCCCCGTCCCGCCACAATTCAACCTCACCGAATGCTCAAAGTATCTCTTCTCTCGTAAGCCATCTCTCTCTTACTTAGCACGAACGATCTTACTAATCAGAGATCGATTTCCTTGGCTGGGCTTGGTAGGCAACACGGCTGAAATGGAAGCCTTGTCTTCAAGAGAAGTCCCTCCAAGCGGTACAGTCCTCAATCTATCTATCCACCTGCTCCAAGGAAACGAAAGGATTCACTCACTGATCCTGTATCTCCCTCTCTCCCTCTCTCTCTCTCGTTTGCGGTCGAAATGACCAACAGAGAAACCGGAACTGTATAAGCCTCCAGTGCCGTCAGGCGGATGGGCCGCAGTGAAATGTAAAACCATCTCATCGTTTTCATCCGTCTGTCTCCTCAAA